GSSGCMCATRWGASWSAGAGACATTTCCACMTTTACATGTCTTTAATAAATGACTGTAAGCACAGAGAAACATGACTTTAGTAAAACTTAGAAAAATATTTAATAAATAGTTGAAGTGAAGGAACGAGTTGCGGCGCCGCAAGTTTCTGCCGCGGTGTGATTTATATTTTAGAATCATGAAGTCTTTCATTCAGATCAGCTGCATGACTCGACTCAGAACCACAGTAAAATACCTGATTGTAATTTGTTCGGTGTGATACCAAAAACAAACAAACAAAAACACGCTGTCCTCAATTCTTCTTGTGGGGATATCAGCCTGCAGCACAGCTGACATTGACATAAATTACGCACAACTTTACGCAGCAACAAATCTGTTGTCTGCATCTTGTGGAGCTGAGGAATCATCACAGCTGAGCTGTTCTGAATTAATCTGCTGAGTTGACAAAGTTTTTTTCTCAGTGAGAATTAAAATGTTTCTTAGACAATTCACACATTTTATTCTCCAGCTGTGTGTGCGCCTCGCAGGTCTGCGCTCTGCATGTGTTTCCAACTACGTGACAACAATATAAAAAGTTTACAGTTTACAGACTGGACTGAGGTTCTTTGATCATTTTTAGGCTGATCTATTTTCTTGTCTGAGGTTAAATGATTTTCAGTCCCGGGGTTCAGTTTCATGATCATTCAGTTTAAACAATAAAAACTCGAACTAAAATAAAAATTCTGACACCGTGTTCAGACGCTCCTTACATCCAGAAAACACAACARAGTCATATTTCTGTGGATTCAGGTCAGATTCATGACTTTGTGAGTTAAAACTGTCGACTGAAAAACTTTGCGTGACTGTCGCACATTCTTAYGGCAGGAGAAAGGTTTGTGTAAATATACGCACACTTTCACACAATGTTGGTTTTGATACATCATAACGTGGGCGTAGAGCCTGGCGCACACAACTTTTTTATACGTACGCACCATTTATACATGAGGGCCCTGATGCGGCCAACAAATGAGTCCTCCTTTATGCCCGATTTGAGGGACAGCTCCGATATTCATATCCCATAATGCATTGCGGGCCGACCAGATATTATTTCCTGCTCGTAATGGCGGACAAAGCAAGAGTTAAAGTTTAAAGCAGTTGTGTCGTTATTGCTTTATTCATTTGTATAGATGTGTTTTTTTAATATTATTCTTGTCAGAAATCAAACAAGCTGGTATGGCAACATAAACATGCACCTACGGCCAGTGTTGTATAAAGTAACTCAAAGTGATACTTGAGTAAAAGTACAAGTATCTTATCTTAAAATTACTTTGGTAAACGTTAAAGTATCATCTACGAATATTACTTGAGTAAAAGTCTTAAAAGTGTCTGATTTTCTTTGTACTTAAGTATCAAAAGTAAATTTTTGACTTAAAATGTACTTAAGAATTTAAAGTAAAAGTGTTAAGTAAAAATTAGCAAATTTTCGAAAAAGACATTTATTGGGAGGTGAATGCTACAAAAAAAATTTCATAAAAGCGTGCAGGATAGTATTTGTTTATGGTTTCAAATAACGAGTTGGAGTGAAATAGAAGTAAGAACTTTCTACTTATTTTTAAAAAATGTAAGGAGTAGAATGTACTGATATATGTGTAAAAATGTAAGGAGTAGAAGTAAAAAGTAGACTAAAAGCAATTACTCAATTAAAGTACAGATAGCCAAAATTTCTATTTAAGTACAGTAACAATGTATTTGTACTTATTACTTTATAACTCTGCCTACGGCAGGTCCGTTAGTTCTTCAAATATTGCCTTTAAGCTAATTAAGTTGTTTTATGAGATTTATAATACTAATATATTGATATTTTGCTAATTTCAATCTATTTTTGCATCTGTTTAGCATCATCACGGTTGCTAGTTGACAGGATGTACGCCAGGCTATGGACGAGAATAAAGCAGAAGACTAGACCGTCCAACGGCGTAATCACCATCCTAAAAGTGGGGGGGACACATTTTTTAAAGGTCTTTTATTTCCTGCTTCGGTTGAAATAAGTGGGGCGGGACAGAGGGCACAGGATATGGGAAGTGGGGGGGACATGTCCCACCCTGTACCTATGGCGGTTATGCCCATGAGACCGTCCAAATTCACAGCCACTTTTTACCGGTCCTTGCGGTCAACCAAGGACCTGGCCCACCTAGACTGGGTAGGCCAGGTCCTTTGAGGGACACAGCTCCTGAATTTGGACACAGCCCAGCTGTTTGTTTTGTAAAAGAGAATTTTGATTCCAAATAAAAAAATAAACAGTTCAAATACTATATGAAACTGAAAAAATTAGAGTTATACCTGGATTGAGGGGGAGCTCAAAACTTTGATCATTGTGCTCATTCAATCAACCATTAATGTAAATTCCTGATCATCGTATTCAAATATGCTTCCGTAGATCAAGGAGGAGATGATGTTGGAGACTGCAAAGTTTAAGGATTATCTTGTATCAAAAGCTTCTCCTGAGTCAAAGAACAAGCAAAAATAAATGAAGTATTGTTTAAACCAACATTTTATCAACTGTTTATTGATGACAGTGATTTCACCTTTGTAACATTTGAAAACGTCAATGAGATAGTAACATTCCTCAATGAGTTTTTCTTCACATGCCTTCTTGCCTATTCCAAAGTCTCTCAAGTTAGTCACAGAAAAGCGACACATTTCTTTCCAAGTTTCACCATTGGTTGCTACCACTCGAAGAAGGAAGGTGACCTAATGAACTCAACACAATTTCCCCAAATAATTCAAACCTGTTGTGTCCTTACCATGTCCTCTGTTGAGTTCATCCATAATGTGCACCACATCACTTTCTCCAAACTCTTCATCATATTTGATAAGTGCCTCCTTCACTGTCCTGTATCCTGCCAGGACCACAACTTTTTTGCATCCAAAATACACAGTGAAGACTGATCCATAAACCTTGGAGAACTAATAGCAAAATATTTTTTGTGACTTTGTGCACAACACAATCAAAGACATCTGCCCATTAGGACAACTATACATTTCTCACCTCCAAAAATGTGTTGAAGGGTTTCTTCAGGTCAAGCTGCAGCAGGTTTCCTAATAAAGGAAGTGGTGTGGGTCCTGGTGGCTCCTTCCTGGATACTTTGGACCTTGTAATCGATACATAGACCAAATAAATGAGCAGTGAGACTACCAGACCCTTAAACAGAAAATAAAAATTGAGGTCCAGCAAAATATCTAAAATAGCCATGATCATCGAACAGTTGCGAAAATCAAAGGTGTTTGTTGAAACTCATGCCTTTTGAAAGCGAGACTGCTCAGACGTTTCAATAAATGTTGGGAGGAGTCACCAATAAAATATAACAGCAAATTAAATATTCTTACAAGTTAGTCTTTGTAGAACAAGATGCCCAATCTTTCTAGTCTTTTCAGTTTGTTCCTAGTCAGGATGATTCTAAGATGTTGTTAAATTTAACACGAGTCCCGTGACTGCAGTCACACACTTTTGTTGTCACATGATTATAGTGTCGTTTACAAGCTTCAGCACAGAGTTCAGCCTTCATCCACCTTCCTCCTTTGTGAGCACAAACAACATAGTTCAACCCTGACCCAATGCATAAAAACCTCTATCTACTCTGTGAAAAGTTATGGTCAAAACATGTTTGGACACTGAAACTTATTGAAATTTTTTTATAAAAAGTCAAAGCATTTTTAAAGACATGTTTTTCTGCTCTAGAAAAAACTGAACCTCAGTAAATCAGGGCTTTTATGATGTTTTATGACCACTTGAATCTTTTTTTTCTGTCCACAGGTTTAATTTTTAACTATCATGGTTGGAACTAAAGCAGGTGTGTGACCCAACTTTCCCGTCAGTGTTTATAAGGGCAAAGGCTTGCCCTAAACACCACACAGTGTTTGTCTGTTCACCGGAGTGTAAAATCCTAAAAACCATGAGGGTCGTGGTGCTGTTGGTGAGTCTGTTGGCAGGCTGCCTGGCAGAGAAGCCTCATCCTTGTGGTAAGTGAAAGTCCAAGTAAACTAGAACTTTTCTGAGGAAACTTTAAAGAGTAACATGATTGCTGCTGTCTACAAATCCAACAAACATTATAGTCATAGCTCATTGGAGCTCACAAAATAAGCTGCTAAAATGTCACAATTTTGTTGTGTAAAATGTATTTCAGATTTACAAAAAAAAAATCAAAAATAAACTTTCCGAGAATTTTGTCCAAATCTGTCTAGTGGCTCATGAGATATTTTACTAACAGACAGACAGGATTGACAAGAATTAATGTCAAAGTTTTAACTTAGGGATCTGTTAGCACTCAAAGAATGCTATGAGGATGACACACAGCTACTACCACACCATTATTTAGCTCAATTACATTTATAGCAAATTTTATTTTTGCTAAGGCTGGTTGGAAAAACAATGGAGAGGGAAACTCCTGTCTGATACAAAGGACAGACTCAGAATCTGCTGAGTCACTTGCAGAAGGAAGAGGGGCCTCACTAACCTAAAAAAGGAAACAGCCTAAAAAATATGCATCAAATAATCACTGTGTAAACATTGGGGGGGCRGCTGTGGCAGAGTGGTTAGGGGAGTTGTCCTGAAGCTGGAAGGTCACCGGTTCGATCCCCCATCCAGTTGTCTCAGTTGTTGTGTCCTTTGGCAAGACACTTCACTCCTAATGCATCTGATGTGTGTCCCCTCAGTGTATAAATGTGATTGGCACTGATTAGTCTCCATAGATGATTGTACATGTTAGATTTGTAGAGACCCAATAAAGTGCTGTGTGAATGGGTAAATGAGGACACAGATTGTAGTGTGAAGCACTTTGAGTGTCCTGGTTGGGTAGAAAGGCGCTATACAAGTACAGTCCATTTACCATTTTTTGAAGACAGAAACAAGAAAGTCTGATGGTGCTAATTTTACTTTTAGCTAATGTTCTGCTTATTTTAGCTGTAAAGAGTTTCAGTTTATTGAGCAAATTTCAACAGTAATTCTGCATTTTACTATAGGCTTACTATAGACCCATGGTCACACATTGAAGTTCCCTTTATATCTATGAATGCAGGAAATTATATTTCACTAATTTCTAATGTTTTAATCTTTTTAAAAACTAAAAAAATAAATCTATCAGTATCTTTGCTGAATTAAATAGGTTTAGAGTGAAATAATGTGATGATGTCTACTTTTGGTGAATAATGCAGAGCTTTATTGTACACAGAAAGTCCTGCTCTTCTGACCGGGATCCTCAGTGTGGTGAGTTTTGTGAAAAAATAAAATAAAATAAAAAAGTCAAATCTGAACTACACAACTAGCCAATGGCATTTTGCATTGTAAGACCTGACCCAGCCTGAGTTGTGTTTGCATTGAGCACATAGTGCCACCTAAATGTGGGTGGAGATAATCATATAAATAATGTATAAATCTTTATGTTCAAAGTTCAAAAGTATTTATTTGCAACTTACAAGACCATCTGTATTGAAAAGGAGTAGGTTGAAGTAAAAAAAATTATATTTTCCTACCCCTTTCTTACTCTTCAAAATATTAATATAGTCTTGATTTTTATTGTTGTGAACCTTCTTATTTTACATACACAGCAATCTCAATAACAATAATAGCTTATTTAACACCCCAGTGTTTCATTTAATCTCTAAATACCATCAATATCGACCAAATAACAACTCAAAATATTTTTTTTGGATCTTTTTTAAACTGATTTCTTATTTTACATTGCTTCAGTTCAACATTTAACCCATTCAATAAATCCACCCCACACACAGATATACACATACTTTTTGTCGTGGTTTGCACACTTTATTTTTTAAATTTGAACTCTCCTCTTGATTTGTGATTATGTCATATCAAAATCATGGTACTTTTTAAGGGTGCTGTCTGATTTACATAATACTTTTTAAGGGTGCTGGCCGATTTCGGGAGATTGGCCAATTCTTAGATAAGATTGGTAGAAAAGATGGGCTTCTCTACCTCCACAAAGGTAATATTTAAAAAGTTTGCATTGTTTCAAGGGTTTTGTTCAATGTTTTTCAATAAAATAAGGTTGGAACATTGAAAGTGTATCGTGACCATATAACATCTCATAGTGTCAGCTATTTAAAAAATCTGCATTGGCTCAAATCTGTATTGGCATGTCAGATATTTTTAAAGAATGGTGATCAGAGGTCRGCCAGAAAACTGCCATCAGTGCATCCCTAGTACTTTTCTTTGTTATATATGTAATTCAAGACCAGCTGAAACAGAGAAAGATATAAAATTGGCTCCAACAGCCAGGACTGAATAGAACTCCAGGTCTTGGGCTTCCAGAAGTCAGGCTGGAAGTGGGCGTTTAAGGCAAATGCAAATACCTTACAATGCAAAATAATAATAATAATAATAATAATAATAATAAGCAATAAATGTACAATTTGTGAAGGAGATGGAAACATTCTTATATTCTAACTCTCCAGTCCACACAGAATGAAAAGTTGTGGACCTATGCCAAATACATGTATGATGCTCTGGGACAGAGAGTGCGCATCATGGAGCTGGGCACCTACGAGAACAAATCATTCACCTACGATGCACTGCTGCTCTTCAGAGAGGTGACAAAGCAAACATATGAACATGTCAACAATGTATTTTAAAGTGTACACACACTATATTGGCAGAAGTATTTGCTCACCCATCTGAATTACTGTGCACCAATGCACAAAGCAAAGTCCATAAAAACATGGATGGCAGAGTCTGGTGTGGAGAGTCCTGACCTCAACCCCATAGAACACCTTTGGGATGAATTAGAGTGGAGACTGAGCCAGGCTTTCTTGTCCAACATCACTATGTGACCTCACAAATGCTCTTCTGGAAGAAYKGTCAAAAATCCCCAYAAACACTCCTAAACCTTGTGAACAGCCTTCCAGAAGAGTTGAAGCTGTTCTAACTGCAAAGTGTGGACCAATATTGAACCCTATGGATTAGGAATGGGATGTCACTTCAGCTCTTATGTAAGTCAAGGCAGGTGAGCGAATACTTTTGGCAATACAGTGTATCTCACTCAGGTGAAAGGTAAGGGGAAAGTTTATTAGTGATGTAAAAACCTGATTCCTCACTGTGTCAACAAATAAAACCCATTAATCCTGTATGTAATGTAGTATGTGATGGACAAACAAACAATCCTATATTGATTGGATCACATTGTTAGTTTCTTCCCAACATAGAAGAGGTTCTAGAAAACAAACTAAAAAGTGTTAGTGTGACTGGTAAAACTGACCAATAGTTAATTATTTACTCGTTTTAGCACATCAAGAAAATCATCATTAGTAATGACCAACCRTGTTTATGGGGTTGGACAGTACTGTCTGTGTATGATAAGGTTWATGTCATTACTCATTAATATTTTGGTTCCAAGCAGACAAACTTTCTTGACTTGTAAAAAGTGGTTTTCATCAGTAGTTCAAGTTTTCTTAAGTCCTTCAAAGTTGTTGTTTTTTATTATGATTTTAGCTGCTCCTTAGTAAGTGAGTAAAGTTTGTTTTCCTTTCATAGACGTGAATCACACAGTGCTGCACAATAAAATACAAAACAATAGAAACACCWCAACTCGGGACGTTGTGGGTCAGTGGGCGGAATACTTCAAGAACCTACACAATCTTACTGACACGTCTTCCCATAAGGAAGCAGAGCCTGAGGACCATGAGATGGATTCTCCAATCTCTGGTGCCGAGGTCAACGAGCTGGTTAAAAAGCTCCTCAGTGGCAGGGCGCCGGGGTGGATGAGATTTGCCTGAAGTTCCTTAGGGCTCTGGACGTTGTGGTGTTGCGTTGGTTGACGCAACTCTACAATATCCCATGGACATCGGGGGCAGTTTCCCTGGATTGGCAGACCGGGGTGGTGGTCCCCCTATTTAAAAAGGGGGGCAGCAGAGTGTGTTCCAACTATAGGAGGATCACACTTCTAAGCCTCCCTGGTAAGGTCTGTTCAGGGGTCCTGGAGAGGAGGGTCCATCGGATAATTAAATTTCGGATTCAGGAAGAGCAGTGTGGTTTTCATCCTGGTCGTGGAACAGCGGACCAGCTCTTCACCCTCACCAGGTTCCTGGAGGTGGTGGGAGTTCGTTCAACCAGTCTAAATGTTTTTTTGTGGACTTGGAGAAGGCTTTTGACCGTGTCCCTCAGAGACTCCTGTAGGGGGTACTCAGGGAGTGTGGGGTATCAGGCCTGTTGATACAGGCTGTTAGGTCCCTGTACGACCAGTGCCAGAGCATGGTCCGCATTGTCGGTAGTAAGTCGGACTCATTTCCGGTGAGAGTTGGACTCTGCCAAGGTTGCCCTTTTTCACCGATTCTGTTCATAACTTTTAAGGACAGAATTTCTAGGAGGAGCCAAGGTGTTGAGGGAATCCGTTTTGGTGACCTTTGATCACATCTCTGCTTTTTGCAGATGATGTGGTCATATTGGCTTCATCAGATCGTGATCTCCATCTCTCACTGGAGCGGTTCGCAGCTGAGTGTGAAGCGGCCGGGATGAGGATCAGTGCCTCCAAATCCGAGACCATGGTCTAGAGCCAGAAACCGGTAGCGTGCCGCCTCTTGGTCGGGGAGGCGGTCCTGCCCCAAGTGGAGGAGTTCAAGTATCTTGGGGTCTTGTTCACGAATGAGGGAAGAATGGAGCGGGAGATCAACAGGCAGATTGGTGCTGCGTCTGCAGTGATACGGGCGTTGTACCAGTCTGTTGTGGTGAGGCGGGAGCTGAACCAGAAGGCAAATCTCTCCGTTTACCTGTCGGTCTACATTCCTACCCTCGTCTATGGTCACGAACTTTGGGTAGTGACCTTAAGAACGAGATCGCAGATACAAGCAGCCAAAATGAGTTTCCTTCGCAGGGTGTCTGGGCTCTCTCTTAGAGATAGGGTGAGGAGCTCAGTCATCTGGGAGGGACTCAGAGTAGAGTCGCTGCTCCTTCACATCAAGAGGAGCCAGTTGAGGTGGCTCGGGCATCTGGTTAGGATGCCTCCTGGACGCCTCCCTGGTGAGGTGTTCMGGGCATGTCCCACTGGGAGGAGACCCAGGGGAAAACCCAGGACACACTGGAGGGACTATGTTTCTCGGSTGGCCTGGAGGCACCTTGGGATTCCCCAGATGAGCTGGCCCAAGTGGCTGGGGAGAGAGAAGTCTGGGTCTCTCTGCTTAGGCTGATGCCCCCGCGACCCGACCCCGGATAAGCAGAAGAAAATGGATGGACAGACAATAAAAACAGTATATAGATACAATGCATAAATGTAAAGTAWATTAAAATGATAAATTAAATACTTTTTTACCTGTACACAACAAAAGTTGTCTCAGGGCACTGCTCAATAAAATTCAATCCAAAACAAAATCCAATTACTCTCAGTTCATTTCTCTTATTACTGAATTCAATTCAGTTTATTTATATAGCGCCACGTTACAATATACATCGTCTCAGGGCACTGTACACAGAAAACAATCTAAAGAAAAAAGAAAAAGCCAGCMGATTGTGTTGAATCACTTCATCAMAGTCTCCCATCCTGAACAGCACATTGGCRAAACTTGAAAAATGACTTGCTTTTAACAACCACATTCAGTATCTATAAATCTAATTCATCTAAATAACCAGGTGTCTCATTCATCAGGCTACCATGTATGAAATCCACCAACATAACCGAACATGTAAGAAGCTTCCTCTGAAAGCAGACTTCCAGCCCATGGCCATTCCCAAAGATGCAAGTTTTGTGGGTCAGTTTGTTCTGGGCAGCTCATCTGGRCCGGGAGAGGGTCTCCTAGTCAACTCTTGGGCAGGAGATTTGCCGGACAAATCAGGTGTGAGATCATTTCATGTTCATCTGTTCAATCATTCATTTCTTTTTAATGAACACTTCTTGTTCCGTCTGTCCATTCAGGACAGTATGTGTCCTCAGTCACTGAGTTTGGCTGCATTCCCATCACCTCTGCCTCCCACACCAAGGAGTTTGGATGGGTGGTGACCAGGTAGGTTTCATGGAGTTCATAAACAAGTCTAAAACATGTTTTTTTATGATTAGATTAGATTAGATTAGATTAGATTTAATAGACCTTAATTGTCATTGTACAGAGCACAATGAAATGTTACTGTTTATCTGTTTATTAGTTTCATCAACAACATCAAGGGGATTCCAGAYCCCAGTAAACTCAATCCACCAGACTTCTGCCCTGATGTAGAGATGGACAGTGAGGAGGACCCCATACACTTTCTCAGCTTGTTTCTTAGCAAGAAATGAAGACTTTATTTCTTGGGATCTGCTTGACAAATCATCAATAAAGACATTCTTTTTTTTTTCATTGCCGAAAAATTTGGTATTCATGCAGTTTACCTCAGTTTTAACACATACTTCGAAAAGCAACTGTGGCAACAGTACACTCATTTTTATGATCTGRGTGAGCTGAAGTTTTTCCTCAAGAATGAATAGAAGCAGAAAATTGGGCTTTAGTTCAAATTTAAATTTGATTTTATTACCTTTGCCTGTCTGGTTTTGAATTGCATACTTTCAACTGTGCAATGCACTAATGTGAAATTACAAGTGATGTATATTAAAAAAATGTAAAATAAATTAAAATTTACTCACTATGCTGTCATTTATGATATTGTAAATGGTGATAGAAATTGATGTCAAAGTTTTCAATAAGCATATTCAATGTAGTAAGTATGATCAAATTCATGATGAAAGTACCATTTCTTGAAGGACTTTTTTGAATAAAAATGAGTAGGTTGAGTACTCAACTTTTTTTCTACCTGGATTATTGAGATGCATCAATTCATTAGATATTTTGCTAACAGACAAACWGSGTTGACTAACAGTGAATGCTAAAGTTTTAAGCAAGGATGTATAAACACACTTATGTAATGGTGATGACTCTCTACACTAAATTTATAACACTTTGGCTCAACATTTGTAAAATCACATTTTTGTGTTTGCTAGGTTAATCTAGCTGTAGCAACCACTTTGCATTTTTTCTAAAGTTTAATCACTTGAATTTGATGATCCAGGCATAAAACGTCTGAAAGTTTCATTGAAATCCATCCAGTGGTTCATAAGTTATTTTGCTAACAGACAACGTAGCAGACATGTTCATATATCACCCATCTTTTGGCACTAAATATGACTCCCTTTTTAAATTAAAACATCCAGGCCCAGCACACACACAGAGTTCACACATCATATAAAACATCATGAGCCTAGGGAAGCACAAAAAAAATCTGGTTCATAAAAATATGCTCATAATAAATTCTAATCACATTTGGATAGCAATAAACAATATAAAAATAACATATTTGTTCAAGAAAATTTTAAACTAAGCTGTAGAAAGAGGTACTTTCACCAGTCTCCTGGCTAGATTACTGTAATTTAGATTACTGTAATTCTCCTCTCTTTGGCCTACCACAGAAAACCCTCCATAAACTCCAACTGCTTCAGAATTCATCAGCCTGTATCATTACATGGACCCCCCTCAATCCATCACATCACACCTGTTCTACAACAGCTCCTGGCTCCCCATTCCACATCGCAAAAACTAGAAAATACTTCTCTATACCTTCAAAGTTGTCCACAACTTCGCCCCTCCATATCTTTCAGACCTCCTTCACATGGCTACACTTGCCCATAACCTTTAGATCTTCTTTTATTCATCTCACTGTTTTCCCCACCCATGTTGTTACTATGTGGAACAGAGCATTCAGGTGCTCTGCCCCCCACCCACCCCCCACCCCGCCCCGCCGATCTGGAACTCAAGCCCACCTCAGCTCCGTAACATACTCTTTGCCACATGTTAAATCCAAACTCAAAACCCATCTGTTTAAAGTAGCCAATGCACTGTGACTGAGAAGTAAATTTTGAAATAAAGACTAGCACACTCACAAATACTGAAATATTTTTCATTTCTGGAAAGTGTGGGGAGGGGGCACCACAAAGAAGGAAGGACATCAAAATGCATAGCACCGGCCCTGAAAACATCTCTTTGGAACAGCAACATGACTAAACGGTGGTCATGTGATTTTTTTTTTAATAAAAAAGCATGAATAATTAATAGATGTGTGACTCCCAATCAGTCAGATTTACTCACAAAATATCCCCTAGTTCAGTTACTTGTGAACCCAGCACATTTCACACCCTTACAAAGAAGATCTTTGATCATTAAACTGATTACAGCCTGGAAACCTCACCAGCATCTATAAAAGGACTGGGCTTCTCTACACAGTTTTCAGTACTACAGAGAAAGGTCAACTTTCCATCAGACAATATGAAAGCGCTGAGTCTACTTGTGTGTTTGTCAGTAGGCTGCTTCGCTCAAAAGCCATGTGGTAAGTACTTCTGAAAACCGTYATAGTAATGGTTTTCTTCTAAACTGTTTTAAAACTGTTCTAGGAAACGTAAGATTATTTTTTGTCAGAACATTTAATATGTTCTGACAGTAAGCAGCTTTGCACATCTTTTTTTTCCCTTTACCATTATTTAACCAGGCTAGTCCAGTTGAGATCTCAGATCTCTTTTTCAAGGGAGGCCTGGGCCTGAAGACAACTTGTTTATTGTACATGTTTTATGAGGGGCCGCCTAGGCATTATTTAAAATTAGCTTGCACTAATTTTCTTTACCCACTTTTTATTTTTGAGTCACGGGAAAGCTGGGCGTGTCTCCAGCAGTCACTGTGTGAGAGGCAGGGTCCACTCTAAGCAATTTTCATGTGTATGTAAAAATGTTTTAGAGATGCTGACGTGTGAAGAAAAGGTTTTCATATGTGTACAAAAGATTTTCACATGTTTTAAATGTTTTCATTTTTTGTTTAAACAACTTTCCAATGGAATTTTTCATACACGTGAAAATTATGAATGAAAATCATGTTTTTACATGAGTGTAAGACAATTCAGATAAATGGCAAGCCCTCACATATCTGCTTATTTAACRTTCTGAGCTGACAAGATTAAAATCTGTCTTTTTAAACTTCAATAGCATCCCCATCACTGATGTCTGGGAGCCTCTCTGTGGTAAGCAGAAAATGTCTGATACTAACTTGAAGACATTTTTTAATCAAAACATTGATAGACTAGTTATTTAGACRTTTGCTGAAATTTTAACATCTTTAAAGTCAAATTATATTTCTTCTTTTTTAAAGTCCACCCAAAGTGACAGGCTGGCAGCGCTTGCCAAGTACTCCTATGATGCAGTGGGACAACGCATCAGCCTTCGAGAKTTAGGAACTTTTTACAATAAAACCTTCTTCCACCTGGACATACTTCTGCTCTACAGACAGGTAATGACAACATCAGTAATGATTAGTAAATCAAATCAAAAATTGATTATATAGAGCATTTTATTCATTCAATAAAATAATCTATAGAAAATCAAGTTCTTCTGCTAAACTATATTTAAAAGCCTCAAAGTATCATTAAGGGCATGTTGTTCTTAGG